AGAGACCTCTCCAGAGATGGAAAGGGCTCATTCTTCCACCAACAGGACAAACTTGGAAACTCATCATAAAAGTAAGATGGACCTCAATTCTCTTCTCTGATGTGTGGGGACTGAAGAACTAATCTTCAATGCTCTGCCCTCTTGTAGCTTTCTCTACCTAGAGGTAATCTGTTTGAAAAGTGTCAGGCAGAGGGTGAAATTTGTCCAGTTCCCATATTTGTCAGGGTTGGCCCAGCTCTCGTAGTTTACAGGTAGAATCCTGAAACCTACCTCAGTGGAGTCTGAGGTGAGCCCTAGTTAAACTAATCCCTTTGCCATCTCAGCTCACACAACTTGCCTACAGGTTGGGGCCCTCCTCCTGCAGAATTCAGCTGCCACCCTGTTTGGGCTCCTGCTGCATTGGTCATTCTTTTACAAGTTGTGTTTGAAGATAGACCTTCCTCATGCTGTCTGATGACTTTCTCTTTGTCGCCAAACAGTGTTCTTTGGTCGTTGCCTTGGGTTCCAAGCAGGTGGTCTTCTCATGTACATGACAAATTGAGTCAAAGTACATTTACCACTAAGGGGTGCCTTTTCTACTAAAATAGGCTTAAAGGCAACTCTTTCTATTCTCTTCAATTTTTGTAGCAAAAGTTTATAGTGTACAATTGTTTAATTGTTTAAACATTTTTCTTTGCCACTTACTGTCTGCTTATTCATTCTCCTTAGGCTGTTAATTAAAGAGAGGGCTTTGAGGTCTAAGGTGAATTTAGATCTCTGTACTCCCAATCGTTGTGGGGTTTTAAGTAAATCAATTCACTTCTCAGATCCTTAGTTCCCTCAGCTACACAACTATTCACTTTCTAGAGTTGTCATGGGAACCTTCTTAATGTAATCCACAGAGTAGGTTCTCAGTTTGTGTTGGTTTCCAGCAGTGTCCTAATACCCAGTAACTTGGAATATCCCCACTCTAGTTCTCTCTCTTATAGAACCTCTTACTAAAGTAGAAAAATTACCCAGCAAACTTGTGTTGCCACTTTTTATAAATTCATTGTCGACTACTATTCATAGGGAGCAAATTATGGCCCTTCTAGGTACTTTACATTCTTTCTCATGCATCAGGCATAATCGTTTCCAATTTATAGAGAAAGCCAAGATCTCCATTGGTTAAATAACAGGTACATTTTACATGTTAATAGAGCTGAGTTTCAAACTCAGACTCTTGAGATACAGAGCCTTAGATTTTTTTCCCCATTGAGTAGAACTGTCGTTCTAGTTACAGTGTTTCTTGCCTACTAATTTCTAAGTTGCTCTAAGTATGTCATCCCATATGTGAGATATCCAGATGTGAGATACTTTCTATGAAAATTATGTGGTCTTTAAGCTATTTTTATACCATTAGGATTAGACACAAGACTACTCTTTAAGATAGACTGCTGACTGCTTCCTTTATTTTATATCTGCTTTCTTTTGAAATTTTTTAATTTTTAGGCGAGGTAACCCTTGGTCGACCTCACAGATTGCAAGGACCTTGTCAGCTTACAATCCCTTGTTTTTTATTTTTTACACCTACAGCACCTGGTCTTCCTAGATCTCCCATCCAAGTGCTAACCAGGCCCGACCCTGCTTAGCTTCCAAGATCAGACGGGATCAGGCTTGTTCAGGCTGGCATGGCCATAGACTTTCCTTTGAAATTTTGATAATTAAAATTCAAGCTGTTTGTCCAAAAATTTTTAACATACTTAAAGTTTTAAGGGTCATTTAAACAGGACTGGATAAGACTTTAAACAGCACTATCATGTGAGTTCTTTAGTATCATATCTTTCTCTTATTGTTGAACTTTTAAGTGCAGCTCCCAGGTGGCTTATGCCATCACAGATAATATGCATGTCTCCCGGGGGAAAGACCAAAATGGGGATCTTGGTAGGATCTGCTTAGCTCTGCACTCTAGCTGCAGCCTGTCTCTGGATTCAGACCTCTCTCATCAGGGTTGCTTGGGGGCCGAGAGCGCCTTGCTTTCTCATTCTCTTTTTTTTTCTCACTCAACGTCTTTGAAAATAATCATCTTGTACAGCTGACTTTCCTCCAAAAAGCAGATGGTTCCTGGGATCTGAACGAAGGTCTGGCCATGGTCCTAGGTGTGAGTTTGGAAGAGATATGGACTGCGCTCCCTACCAAGGTGAGATTCAGAGAAGAAAAAAGGAGGATGTATGTTTTTGAGAGGTTGGGATCAGTAAAGAGAATTGAGGCGAATCATGACTCATCTGAGGAAAGAGAATATGAGAGGCTATAGATTGAATTAATTTCTAATAAATAGAGTTTGAAGGTTTTTATGGGTAGGATAGAGCAGAAGGAACAAGGAACTAATGGTCCGGTTAGTAGGAGTTGATGGTTTTGAGTTGATGGGTGACAAAAGGAAAGCAAAAATCCTCTTGCACTTGGATTACATTCTCTGCCAATCATCTTAATTATAATAACTAACGTTTATTGAGCAATTATTCTGTGTCAGGCACTGCGCTAAGCACTTAACATTCATGATCTTATTTATTCATCACAATGATTAAATGAGATAAATCTTATTCATGTTGTTGTTTACAAATGAAGAAACTGAAGCCCAGAGAAGTATAATGATGCGACTGAGTTGACCTAACCAGCCAGTGCAGAGTTGGATTCAGTTCTAGAACTATCAGTCTTCAAAACCCACATTATTGCTCCTCTTTTTACTAAAGGAAGTGGTCCAGAAATTAGCAAAATTTTACTGAAGTTGGGATAGGTGAAGTATTAATAAAGAAGACCTAGTTACTTCAAATATGTTCAAGCCTGCTGATGAGGACAAATTAACTTCCAGAATTTAAATGAAGCTTACTAATCTTCTAATTGAGATATTGTTTAATAAAGACAAGTGCCAGAAACCTGAAAGTCAAGTGTCATTCTGAATTTACAAAATGTGAAAAGTGATTAAATAAACTGAAGATATCCTATAATAACTACATCATCTGATACAGTATTTACTAGTCACATTATGGCTATTGAGATCTTGAAATATGGCTAATAAAAATGAGGAACTAAATTTTTCATTAAATTGAGGTGTGCTATGATTATGAAATACATACTGATTTCAAATATTTTAATATAAAAAGAATGTAAAATATTTTACCAATAATTTTTATATTGATTTCATGTTAAAATGATACTTTGAATATATTAGATTAAATAAAATATATTAGGTTAGTAAAATAATTGAACTTCTTTATTTTTACATTTTCGCATGTGGCTAGTAGGACATTTAAAATTATATGTGTATATAGCACTGTATTCCTGTTGAAAAAATGCTGTTCTAGAACAGATAATTAATAAGATTTAATAAATAATTTATTAACTTAATAAATATAATTAATTATAAACAATTAAAATCTAAAGATCATGAAATTCTAACTTGATTTTACTGAGAATAAGATATGTCAGACTAACATTTCCTTCTTTGACATGGTAACTGGGCCAATAAATCAAGGAAATCAACAGCCCTGGTGTGTCTGAATTTTAGTAAGGAATTTGAATTTTTCTTAATGACGAGTATATGAACAGAGTACAAACGAGCTGAAAACCCACAGCACTGAATAATGAATTTATTCAAACTCAAAACAGGTTTCTGGACTCACCAGACTGAATTCTCTGGAAGTCCATCGTCTCAGTGAATATTTAAATGAAGTTGTAGACCAGTGCTTTCTTATTGTATATAACAAAACTGGGAGATAAAGTATTAGATAAGAAAATCAGGATCTCAAAAAATCTTGAACAATGACTTGAAATGTCTATGAACAAAATTAGGAATAAAAATACCATTTTCCATACAGTGGATAAAGGAGAGCCTCTTCAATAAATGGTGCTGGGAAAATTGGAAGGCTGCCTGCAAAAGAATGAAACTAGACTGTTGTTTATTATCACACACCAAAATTAATTCTAAATGGATTAAGGACCTGAATATAAGGCCAGAAACAATAAAATGCATAGAAGAAAACATAGGAACTAAACTCAGGACCCTTGGACTTAAAGAGGACTTCATGAATTTGACCTCAAAGGCAAAGGAAGTAAAAGCAAAAATAAGGGAATGGGACTACATCAAACAAAAAAGCTTTTTCTGCTCAGCAAAATAAGCCACCATCAAGATAAAGAGACAACCATCCAAACGAGAAAATATATTTGCAAGCAACGCCTTTGATGAGGGCCTAAAATTCAAAATATGTGAAGAACTCATCAATAACAACAAAAAAAAATACAATCCACTTAAAAAATGGGCAGAGGACCTGCACAGAAACTTCTCCCAAGAAGACAGACAAATGGCCAACAAACGTATGAAAGGATGCTCAACATCACTAGCTATTAGGGAAATGCAAATCAAAACCACAATAAGGTACCATGGCAATTATCAACAGGACAAGTAATAACAAGTGTTAGGGAGGATGCAAAGAAAAAGGAAACCTCATATGCTCCTGGTGGGACTGCAAATTGGTACAGTTACTATGGAAAACAGTATGGAGGTTCCTCAGAAAACTAAGAATTGATCAACCTTATGATCCAGCAATCCCTCTACTGGGTATTTACCCCAAAGACTTGAAAACACATATCTAAAAAGCTATTTGCACACCGATGTTCATAGCAACATTATTCATGATGGCCGGGACATGGAAGCAACTGAAGTGTCCTATGATAGATGATTAGATAAAGAAGCTGTGGTACATGTATGCAGTGGAATATTATTCAGCCTTAAGGAGAAATGAAATACTGCCATTCGCAACAACATGGATGGACCTTGAGATAATCATGTGAAGCGAAATAAGCCAGACAGAAAAAGTTGAAAACCGCATGATATCAATTATGCGAAACCTAAATTGGGATATAAACCTAAAAGCAACAAGCAAACAAGACAAACGAACAGAAACTTATGGACATGGACAATAGACTAGTGGTTACCAGAGGGTCGTGGTGGAGGGGGAGGAAGATGGGGTAAAGGAGGTCAAATATGTGGTGACACAAAGAAATCTAACTATGGTGGTGGACACACAATGCAATATATATTTGTGCAAAAGAGCTGGGCAGTAAGTTTTAGGTGTACACTTATGCATTTAATTAAACAATGTCACCATAATAAAAAATTAATTAATTAAATAAACAAGTATAAGGCAAATTTCTCTACAAGTATGCTATAGCAAAACAGCTCTGAACTTCCTGAAACTCATTTTCTATGAAACAGGACTGAGCTGAACAAGGAACAAGTTCGTTCTCTCTCTCTCTCTCTCTCTCTCTCTCTCTCTCTCTCTCTCTCTCATTGCAGGTAGATGCAGAAGACTCTCTCTCTCCTCTCCCTCTCTCTCTCCCTCTCTCTCTCATTATGAAGAGGAAATTTCAGGATTTTCATTAAAAGCTAATCATCTGTTTTGTTCTGTTTCTGTAAATGTGCTTGCTGCATGCAAGCACTCACTGCGGAGCTCTTTTGCACCTTGTCCTACTTGCCTTTTGCTCAACAAATGAAACTGAACCATTTGTACCCCTAGCAGCTCACGCTTTCTGTAACAATTTGTATCTGTCGGCAACCCTTGACATCTCAACTCTGGCCTTACCAATGTTACGACTTGTAGTCTCCATAGCAACCCCTGTCATTTGTAAAAGTTTGAGTTCGAACTGACCGATTAGCTTGTGTAAAAATTCTGGTATATAAGCAATATTTCAACTGAGCCCACTGCCCAGATCTTCAGAGCACTAGCTCCTCTGGTATTGTGCATAATAAACCTGAGTTCTCCTTTCTCTCTGAGTTACTGCTTGGTGTTTCATTGGACTGGTTTGGGATTTTTCCACAACAATTATAGTTTAAGGCCATAATCTTGTCAGGGAATACAAAATAAATACAGTGGTGACCTAAGGGTATATAAAATACTCCTTTAAATCTCTGAAATGAATCTATTAATAATTTTCCTCTCATTCAGGGAACCTGTTTTCCATATGGCGTCATTTTGGGAAGCAATGATGATGTAGTCGAAAGAGAGCTAAGCTTGAGAATACCTGGGCTCTTCCACTGTTTAACTTTAGGAAAGTCACAATTGCTCTGAGTTCCAATTTTCTTACTTGCAAAACAGGGTTAATAAGAACTACCTTACATAGTTCTTGAATTAATTATACTAATGTAAAAAGTACATTGGACAACTCGAGCAACCACAAATGTAAGGTAATCTTAGTTATGAAAGAATATTTAAAAATCAAAATTAGTTATAATCTTATTTTTCTTTGCGACTCAAAGGGAGGAGTCATATTATCTCAGATTTGAGATATAGTTTTACCTTTAACCAACTCTATTCAGTTAAGTTGTTTAAATTCATTAAGACTAAATACTCTACTAAAAATGAGGAAGATAATACTACCTACTTGATAGATTTCTAGAGAGAATCAAAAGAGATAACACATATAGAGCACTCAGCACAGTTCTGGTATATAGCAAATGAACAGTAATGTTAGCTATCATTAAAGCTGTGGTCTATTTACTAAGACATCCCAGCAGGCCACTCCCGTCTTGTGGAACCCTGCTTGAGTAACATCTTGACTTTCTCTGTGACATGTGTTTCTCCTCTTTTAAAACTGTTTTTACAACAATGAGATTATAATCATTACTTCTGTAATCACTATAGTCATATTCATGACTTCTTTTGCATAGGATTTAGTTGAATTATCACCATTAAAGTTTCACTTTTTCACATTGTGTTAAGTCAGTGTCACTGAAAAGTTTTACAGTACAAATAAAATCAAATAATTTCAGAATTAGTAAGAACTTTAAATCAAGTTATTCATTCAAACTGAGAACAGCCTCAGTGTCATACCTGAAAAATGATTCTCTTAGACATTTCTAGTTACAAGGAGGTAACGACCTCATGAGGTTACTTATTTCATTGATGTACATTTAGAGGTACATCTAATAATTAAGCACTTCCTATCTACATTGAAAATAAATCTGTCTACCACAACTGCCCATGATTCCTGAGCCACCACATGGAACAGCACTTATCACATCTCACTACCAGCGCTGCAAAAACTGAAGACCATATTTTATCTCAGCTTAAAGAGTGCAAAACCCAAATCTCTAGAATTCGTAAGATAGTGCTTAAAAGCATTGACTTAGAAATTAAAGAGTCTCAGCTCAGTCACTTTTTAGTTGTGTAATCTTCAAGTTATTTAATCTGTTTTTCAGTTTCTTTGTCAAATAATGCCACCTACTTTATAAAGTTTCCTTCAGAGATTAAATAATTATTGTAATAATCAATTTAAATATTTAGCACATGATAAGTACTTACACTGAATTATTAACTGAATATTGGCTATTTAGCCAATATTTTTTTCTTTTGAGATGGATTACAGGCCCCCCTATTCTATGAATGTGCCTAGTATGAGACTAATTTTCTTTAAGGATAATGATTTGAAAGGCACATAATAGTAATCAACACATAATGAATAATTATTAGCTGATTAAATATCTGTTTGAATACTGATGTTTATTAGAGATAACTACATAGTCATATGGATATATACATATTTTCAAAAGCAATGAGAAATCTATCACAAGCAAAGGCTTGAAAGATGTAAAAAAAAAAAAAGAGTAGTGTTGCAGGTGATGTGAAGTTAGAATCGGAGCTCGTTCTACCATGCAAACAGTTTTGGAGGACCATATATATTTCCTACTTTACAGCATTCCTTCCTGATGATCTCATTACTACTGTTTCACGGCTGCATAATGAATTAGGTTGACAAACTGATTGCTCCCTCATAGCCATCAATCAGTCCCAAGGGCTTAAGGGAGCTTCCAAGGGAGCAATCCAGGGAAAGTGAGTGTGTACAGGTCTTGATTATACAAATCCTCTGAGACTCAATTCTTTATAAGTAGGAGAACCGAAGCTCCTTTGGCTCGAACACTCTGTGTTCTACTGAGAAACAGTACTAGCTCTGCAAATTTGGTCTTACTAAAATACTTTGGAAAACCTGACTGTATTCTCAGATGGACTGTGAGTGTTTAAACTGCTGCTGTGTCTCGTTGTTAGCCTCTGTTCCTCATACACTAACAAGTCCACACACAGGGACCTTCCCGGTTCTTGCAGACATTTTTTTTCCCTGAAATGGACTTTAAAAAATCAAATAGAATTATATAATCATACATTATCATGATATCTGATCATAGGCAAGGACCAAAGACCTCTGAGAACCTTTGCTGACCAGAAAGAGATGATCCAGAGCTCAGAAATTTGCATGGCTCAAAGATAGTATTCAGGTGTGGCTAGAGTTAGTAACAAGCAGCAGGATGTCAGCAGCATTTCTCCCCTAGAATATCACTGTTTCTTTGCCATCTTTACTTTTGCTCAGGTCTAGGGTGGCACATGAGTTACTCATTTTGGCTTGGTCATTTTTTTTAAATACGTTTTTAAGTGGCACTTGCCCCAGTTTATGATTGGAATCTCCATAATGAATGTGGCTCTATAACTTAAAAGCTCCTATATTGAAGTCGATGTTAAGGTATAGTGTCAAAGTTGTGGGAACAGCCTGTTGTTTGATTTCTAAAACTAAATTAGATGCTCACAAGTGTGCTCTGAAGTCAAGACTGGAAATGACCAGGAAGAAGTAAGATGGGTCACTGTATTTCTTTCTTCATCACAGTAACATGAATTTGATGCTTTCCTTGCTGCTAATATTTCTTTTGCTTAACATTTCAGAGTTGCCTCAAGTCCACTTAGAAAATGTTAAAAGGACCAGAATAACCAGAGCGTCATCTCTTGATGGAGTTGGGGATATCGGACCTCCCAAATCTGGAAAAAAAAATGTAATCTGAAGAGAACATAATCTAAGTATATTCAATAATATTATTTAACACAACATATTTGCAAATAGTACCAGCATTAAAGGAAGGCACTTAAAGAAGTAAGTTTAAGATACATAAAAGAAACATTTTTCATTAGGATTTTTGTTTTTGCTCAATATTTTTACAGACATTTCATAAACTTTACTATGATACCAGGGTATTTTTGTTTTTGATGTTGTTATAATAATTATAATTTTCATTTTGTAGGTAAGGAGAGTATATCTATGAAAAATGTATAAATTATTTTAACTAGCATAACTAATAAATGGCGAAACCAGGATTTAACTTGTGTTCTGATTTCTAATGCAATTTCTTTTCCTGACATTTTTCAGAGGGTAGTAAAAAGTGGGAATTTGCTACTCAACGATATTGTGAGAGGTCAAAATATAAATATGCCTAAAGAAAATAAATCCATAAATTAAACAACTGTAAGACGTCTCTTAACATGAGAATGTTTTGAATATATTTTTAAACTTCTGATCTTGTCATAGAGGACAACCATCTGCCTCCACAAAACATTTTTTCCAAGAGTTGAATAGACTGTGGTTCTGAAATAAGCATTTCTTATCACCTGATATTTTTATATAGATTGTGCCTCTCATAAGAAGGCTGGTTGTTACTTGTTAAAAACAGTCAAAGCACTCATCAGCAAAAAGCTTGATAATTTGATATTGGTATTCAGATGTTTGTGTCTTGGGTCCCTTTTCAAGGTCCGACTTTCTCACAGCTATGAGAAATGTCTCAGTGGTGCCCGAGGTTATCCTCCTGGGCATCTCATATACAGAGGATCTGGAGACCATGCTCTTTGTCCTGTTTTTGTCCTTCTCCATCTTCATCTTTATGGGAAACCTGCTCATCCTACTGTCAAGTGTCTCCTCCACTCGACTTCATACTCCCATGTACTTCTTCCTGTGTAAACTGTCTATGTGTGACATATTTTTCCCCTCTGTGAGTTCCCCCAAGATGCTCTTCTACCTCTCAGGGAATAGCTGAGCCATTTCCTATGCAGGCTGTGCATCCCAGCTCTTTTTCTACCATTTCCTGAGCTGTACTGAGTGTTTCCTGTACACAATGATGGCCTACGGCCGCTTTGTTGCCATATGTTACCCTCTATGCTACACAATAATCATGAGGCACAAAGTGTGTGCCATTCTAGCCCTGGGAACCTCACTTTTTGGCCGTATTCAGGCCACCTTTCTAACCACTCTCACCTTCCAGTTTCCCTACTGTGGCCCCAAGGAAGTGGACTATTTCTTCCAGAGATGCTGAAGCTGGCTTGTGCAGATACGTCCACCCTGGAGACGGTGGGGTTCATCGGTGTGGGCCTCATGCCCCTCAGCTGCTTCCTTCTCATCCTCACCTCCTACAGTTGCATTGTCTACTCCATCCTGCAGATTCTCTCTGCAGAAGGCCGACATCGTGCCTTCTCCACCTGCAGTGCCCACCTCACTGCTATTCTACTTTTCTACATGCCAGTGGTCCTCATCTACCAAAGACCCACCTCAAGTCCCTGGCTGGATGCCACTGTTCAGGTCCTGAATAACCTGGTCACTCCCATGCTGAACCCCTTGAACTACAGCCTCAGGAATAAGGAGGTAAAATCATCCCTGAGGAAAGTCTTATATCAACTGGGCTTCCTTTCTGAAGAGTTGAAGAGAGAGAAGAGCAACTAACACTTCAACTGCAATTTATAGCTTGAAAGATATTTTGATATGGTTTTCACAAATATATATATATTTTAATTTGAGAGTACAGATATTACTATGATTATCTTCATTTTATAACATGGGGGCTAAGATTCAAAGAGTTAAAGTGACTTGTTGAAGAATGCATGGAAGCGATGACAGGTTAAGGAATCTGGCGCTGGTTTTCTGACTCTGGGACCTTTGCCTTCTTGAGGATATCATACTGGTGATGAGGTGTTTGCCCAGGAGGCAGAACAACTGAAACTTTCTGCTTCACAATCTTTATTTTCTTCACCTTCTTACATCTTCTTCTCCATTTCTTTTACCCCTCACCCTGACACTTGGCTGCATTGACTGTCTCCTAAAATATCTGAATTGGATAAATCCTAATTTTATTGGTATAGATGTTGTTGAAAAAAAATAATGGGAGATATTCATTTCTATGGCTTTAAGTAGCACCCTTAAAGAATATAAAGAAGTTGTATAAAGAGAAGGACTTCTGTCTGGGACCTGAGGCAGGTCTTTTATGAGCGAAACAGAGGTACTGGTGTACTGAATCTCTTAAAAACCCTGTCTGTTGGGCTTAGACCTGGAAGCAGGCACTGACTGTACATGTGTGACATGTAAATGAGAATGTGGAAAAGGCAGATGGGGAAATCCATGCAAGGGTGACTGTGCTCAGATATCATGTTAGAAAAATCTGGACTTGGCTTTCAATTGCTCAGTACAATCGGAGGACAATTCTGGGTCCAAGCTGCCATTGTTTGTGTCTTTGGCTTCTCTGTTTAACTGAAAAGGTTTGACTTTTTCCCACATTCCTTCATTTTTTTTTTTTGGCTGAACTATGCTAAGAATGAAAAAAAAGTTCTATTTTAATACAGTGATCTATTGTTTTCATGACAATTCATTGAGAATCTTATCACACTTGGGGTATATAGTTGCTATGAAGTTTATTCTAACAGTAAAGTGCAGAGAGAAGGACACTGGGAAGAGGATGATGGAAAAGGAGGAGACAGAGGCAGAATCCATTTTTTTCTCCTCTCTATATTTCTCAGAATCAGAAGCAGCCAAGGAACCTGTCAGACCAAGTCAACTCTGCTGTGTCTTTGCTTCCAGACACCGTGGTGAGCCAGCACATGCTCGTGCTGTGGAAACAAACTCTTGTCTAATCACTTCCCTTAAATGCTTCCAAACACTCTTAGTACTGATTCCCTTGTTTCTCATTAAACAAGAGCTTAAAGGAGAAAGTGAAAATACATCTCAAATTATTTCAGATTTGGTATATCCCTTCTCAAGTCTCTCTGAGTGCATTTAAAGGCCTCTTTTCATTCCTCAATTTCCTGGTTGTAGCTGCTCACATGGTCAAAATAGAACAATTTATAAGAATAAAAGATGTGATCCAATTTCCTTTCATTTTTACTCATACAAATATCATTTGATGAATAATTTTGTGCTGGAGTAAATAAACAGATATGCAACTAACTAGCACATCGCATGATAACCAAAAGTATAAAATACAGCAGAAAATGTGGAGTACATTTTTTTCTAGGACTGTGGAGGGCTCCCACAGAAGAGCTGTTGAAGGTTGAATGCTTTTGTTTGTTTGTCTGTCTCTTTCTTTCCCTACCTCAATGAAGAATAACTGAGAAATGTTTTACAGGGAGAAGCAACATACTTCTCAATCTTTTGTTTTTGTGGGGTGGTAAGGATGAGAGATAATTTCTTGAGCGGGTATCTCAACTATTTGCCATCTATGAATGAATGTCCTTGTAGGAAAAATAAAATTCATTTGACTTGTTTCAGGCTTCTTCTTGCAGCTCAGCAATTTGTTTCTGAATTGGAGATATGCCCTGCACAAATGGCTCTATCTCTATCTTCTTAAGCAAATTGACCTTTCTGCTTATCTCGAAGTTTCTGAGAGATGTGGGCACTCTCCTATCTCCAGGCAGTGCCTGAGCTCTTTTTCCACCTAAGCAGGAGCCCAGAAGGTCAGGCCCAGGCTGAGCTGTGGAGACCCAGGTTGGGTTTGATAGTGGAATGAGACTTGTTTGTGTTCTAGAACTGGAAGAGTTTGGAAGAAAAAAAAGTCAATGGGAGAAATCCCAAACCATGTAGATCATCTATCTAGCAGAATATTTAATCCACAGGGGTGTACCATAGACAGAGACTCAAGTCCCCAATGCAGGGAAGCCAGAGAACAAGAATAGTGAAGCAGAGGTTCAAAATATGTTTTGAGCAGAGTGGTACAGCAGCATTTCCTGAGACACAGGATTCAAATACGGTTTAGGTGTGGCATCCAACACCTGACCCCAGGTGGATTCTAGTTTCCTTAAAGGCTTCTCTATTCACTTTAACACTTTGGGCAACATATTTTTGGAGCTTTAGTTACTGTCTTTTTGCTCCTCCCTAAGTTTGTTACATAACCAACGCTTGTTCTGAATTTCACCTGTATTTTGTTTTGCCTACAGCTCCCAGAGAGAGAAACTACGGTACAGTCATCTACAGTGGAAACCTGTGATATGGACATTGAAAGTGGAGCTGAGATGATGGCTCACACGGCGTTGAGTGATTGTGAACAGAAGTTTTCAAAGGAGTATTCACAGTAGATGCCTATTCTATTTATACCTTGCTGTCCCTGGCACCATGCTGATTTGTTCTAAATCAAATTAACTTAAATGAATGAATAACTAGTCAGAATTAATGATGTTTTCAGTACTTGATTTGCAATTTTTCTTTGAGAATATTGCCTTTACCTTTCCAAAAATACTTATTCAAGCTAAGGGAATAGAATAATTTCTATTTTGCTAGTTCACTTAGAGAAAGAGGAGTAATAATGTCTGTGATTATTGAAATGGTAAGCTGGGGAGAAATAATCTGCTATTTATCATTCTTTTATTTTATATTTCATTGTTTAAAAATATTATTTTCATGCTTGTTTTGATGATATTCTATGTGATGTCAGAAAGCCATTCTTCATTGTCCAGCTGGATGCCTTTTTTTCAATTAGAGTTGACATTTAATATTATTTTATATTAGTTGCAAGTGTACAGCACAGTGGTTAGACATTTATATAATTTACAAAGTGATCCCCCTGATTAGTCTAGTACTCACTTGGAACTGTACATGGTTACTACAATATTATTGACTATATTCCCTATACCGTACTTCCCATCCCCATGACTATTTTGTATCATCATGGGCCCTTCAGTGCTTAAGGAAATGGGTCATGTAGGGACTATGTTCTTGAGAAATCTAGTCACTCCTTTATCTGGACATAGTTCTGAAGATGCCCGACATAGGGATAGTTACCTTAAACTTTTTTTCCAGAATCAACTGATCCATTTAGATGGAGACTCTTTTTGCCAAAATCCTCCAGCTATCACCTGGAAACCAAGAGGATGCCAAATGCTCTTTTCTTCCATGGTGTTACATTTCTGAAACACATAATTAGGAATCTCTCCATTATTTTAGGTAATATTCCTAGTGATGTTACAGCCTCCATTAAGCACGACTAAGGCTATTAATTTTTCAGCCAAAGTTATATTAGATAATAGAATTTCTCTAGACTATATATTAGCAGAACGAGGAGGGATAGGCACGGCAATTACTATATCTTGTTGTATATACATAAACACATTTCATGAGTAGAAACCCATTTAGAAAGTATTAGAAAAGAAGGTACTTGGCTTCAACAAGTCCCTACAGAAGAGCCAGGATTTAATCTGTTCAGTGTCCTTTTTAGTTGGTTGCCAGCATGAATAGGCTAATTATTTGGAAAAAATATGGCAAGTTGGCTTAATAATTCTACTTCGCCATTTTTTTATTGTTATAATCTTTAAGTGTTGTACCTATTGCTTCTCTCAATTATGTAAATCCATAAACCAAGCCCCAGCTAACATATGCTTGCTCAACAGATTGAACTATGCACTTAATTAATATAAACCTCTTATTAAGTGGCCTACTTCTATTTTCAAAGCTGAATACTATTCCACTGTATGTATACACCATATTTTCTTTATTCATTCATCTTTCTATAGACATTCGGATTGTTTCCATATCTTGGCTATTGTGAATAGTGTTGCAGAGAATATGGGAGTGCAGATATCTCTTTAATCCTGAACTGGGATTGCTGGATCATAAGGTGATTAAAAGTCATTTTTAATTTTTTGAGAAACCTCCATACTGTTTGCCATGTATTCACTGTTACAGTCATTTACTCAAGAAATATCTAAAACAGGTCTCTAATGTGCACACCCTTATGTAGGCATTGCAATGCTGTGCACTGAGCAGAATACAGAAAAGCATATCTTTGCCTTGGAAGTAAACTTTATGAATGAACTGAAAAATCTGAAGAGAGAAATCTTTAAGCTGGTGATTTGAGCAGTAGAGTTGTCAGAAGAAAAGCATTATTAGAACTAAAGAGATATGAGGAAAGGTATGAAGGCAGAACTACACAGACAGTGTATTGGAAGTAGAATGACCACTCCATTTTAATCGAGGCCAAGAATGCATGTAGGGTAAGCTAAGAATGAATTCATAAAACTGTCAGAGTAAATCTTTTCAAAGATTTAGTTGCTCTTTTTTTAGAACTGAGTTTTAAAGTTATAAGAAGTTATTAAAGGACGTTGAATAGCAAAATGACATTATTAAGCCAATTTGTAAAAAAAAAAAAAAAAAGAAAGAAAGAAAAGAAAGAAAGAACGAAAGAAAAAGAAAGAAAGAAAAATGAACCCAGAAGTGATACAAATTGAATCAGAGGTAAATGTGAGTTGGGAGACACAAGAAGACTTCATATAACATAGATAATATGAGATATAGAGTATAAGGAAGTAGTTCAAAATTATCACATTTTGGATCACATTTTGGATCTCAGGAACTAAGAGACTGTCATTATCATTAAAAAGCTGGGAGGATAATAACAGAAACAGATTGGGGGAATTTTGATGAATTCACTACATTTAATGTGAAAAATCAAGACATCACTCAAC